GGCCGGCGCCTCAGCGCGAGAGCAGCATTTTGGAAAAAATGCAGGCGAAAACCCAACTCTGGGGAAACCTGTGTAAAAAACAGTACGGGGGGGCCCAGGGGCGAATATTCCCAAGACGTCATCATGGGAAGAGGGAGAGTAGTATTCATATTGAGTAATTGTGGAGGAGGAGGAGGAGGAAGAGGAGGAGGAGGAGGGGAAGGAGGAGGAGGAGGAGGAGGAGGAGGAGGAGGAGGAGGAGGAGGAAGGGGATGAGGAGAAGGAGGAGGGGGAGGAGGAAGGGGATGAGGAGGAGGAGGAGGAGGAGGGATGAGGGATGAGGGAGGAGGAAGGAAGGAGGAGGTGGACCCAAGTTAGGAGGGCCAATGGCATGTCGGACAGGGTTTTTTCTTTTGACGTATCAGGCCAAGCCGCCCAGAACTATCATCACTACAGCCGAACAGATGATTCAGACAATCATCGTGTGAGAAACCTGGGCCAGCTGTCTCCTGAGTTTTCCAAACAAGCCTGGGCCAAAGTATGTTGTTCACGCGGGAGGGGCGAACGGGCTTCCTGGCAAGTTGGCAAAGCAAGGCTGGCCCAGCTTTTCGGGGGAGGAGGGGAAGAGGCTTCTTCATCAGATGCTCGAACGTAATGCGAAGACGGGGACCCCAGTGAGGCCACGTCTTCAACGTGTGATTCGGGTTAGGGGCTCTTGTGTAGTCGATGAAGCAGGGCCCGAGCAAAAATAGCAGCCTCGGAAAAATCGGACCCGCGGAACGGGATCGCAGAATCGGATCGGATCCCAGATCCCAGATCTAAGACGAATCCAGGCCGAGGACAAAATCGGGTGAGGGTGAATCGAGAATCTCTGAGATCCAGCGGCTCTGGAGGATGTTTCGGGCGACGCGGCCGTGTCAGAGCGTTCCTGAACGCTCCTCGTCCCAGCCCCATCCGACCCTCAGATCCCAGCGCTGCAATTTTTCACTGTGAGCGCTTTCGATCGCTTTCGGGCCCCAGGACCCTCACGTATCGATATGGCTCGAAAACTGCCGCAGAACAATGGCATCTGGGACTTCAATTTCTCTCTACGTTTTCGGCATCGGGGGGCCCCGGTCACTTCCGGGCTCCAGGACAATCAAGAACTGACTCATGATGCAAAACCGGTCCAGGGGCAAGGGTCGTGGCTTCCGGGGACCCATTGCCGGAAAAAACTGGACATCGCATGTCTGGGGTCGGATGCGGAATCGGATCGCCAGTGAGTCGTCCCCCCTCGGATCGAAGCCGCAGCGCCGCGCCTCGCTCTGGCTGGCCCGGGCCAATGCCTCCGGCTCGAGCCCAGGCATCTGGCCGCTCCAAGTTGTTCGATGCTTGGGCCCCGGGGGCCTGGACAACTTCACCGGGGCCGGTTTCCGGTCCCGCGTCGTTCTTTGACGCTCCCGATGCCAGGCGAGGGCCCCTGGAGGCCAAAAACGGCCCAAAGCCTGCCGCTCCAGTACTCGCCATCGCTCGGACGTCGATTCCCCGTGCACTTTTCGATGTCGTGCGCATTTTCCGCTACATGATCAAAGATGCTCCTCGATGGTCCTCGCCGAGAAAAAATGCACACGTCCGAGCGATGCCAAGAGTATCGTTGGAGCGTCGGATCTCTTGGGAGCCGGGTCGGACGAGGCTCGGAGCCGCGCGGCCCAGGCGCGGCAGAGCGAGTCGCACCGAAGCGGCCGGGCCCTGCGGAGACGGGGCGGGAGGGAAGAGTGGAGTGGCAGCTGCCGGGCTGCCCTCGCGGGGGAGATGCCAAGCTGGATGTCGAAACGGAAGGAACTTGTTGGGGGCCCACTACAGTGCGGGCGCGGCCGCAAGAGGCCCTCGCAAGAAACCCAGCCCTGAGAACCCGTGCGCGAGGTGCACCCGAGGGGAGTCCTGCAGCACCCTGAACGCAGCAGCTCCTTCAACGTCTGCGGGAAGTCGCCGCGCGGCGCGAGGAGCGAAGAAACCCAGGACACCCTTCTGCGAAAAGCATATGGTTTCTTGATGCGCGCCCCTACTGTAGGCCAGATTCCAGCTCCAACTAAAATGATTGAGGCGTATTGATTGGGCCGAAATGCAAAAGATCAGACCCAAGGACAATACTGGGGCCGATGCTGCATTCAACCTTCCAGGAGTGGCAGTCAAATCGGGGTGGACGAAAGAGAGAAAGAGATTAGCAAGGGGGACGGGGGGGAATCTGCTACATGTAGCGCGTTGCTCCCAGAGACGGGAAGCGCAATGATAGATCATGTATCGAGGGATGCTCCAGAACAGGCTGCATACTGCAGTTTTCACACACGAACACACGTACACGCGTGACAAATACACATCGTGGATACTACTCCCCTCTCTCTACTGACTCTGTCCGGAAGATGATATGCATGCCCTCTCCGCGTTCTGTCTTCTTACGCGCCCGATTTCAAGCGTGTCTTTTCATATGTGTGTGTGCGTGTGTTCAATCGGGGCGTCTTCGGCTGGCTCGGAGAGGCGCTGCCGCTGCAGTGCTGGCCTCGTTTTCGGAGCGGCGCTTGGCTCCCGTCGTTCAGACTGGCGCCCTCGCTCCAGCGCGGGCCACTCTTATGGCTGCGAGTCCTTCCCCATCGCTGTCGCCCCCCCTCCTTTCCCCTCCTCCGCCTTCCCCTGGTCCTCTGGTTCCTTCCGCTCCTTCCGCTCCAGTTCCCGCTGCTGCTGTTCGCTCTCGTCCTCCTTCTCCTCCGTCCTCATCGGTACCCTTTCCCTGCTGCTCCTGCTCCTGCTCATCCGCCACCTCCTCCTCCTTCAGCTCCTCCTCCTCCTCCTCCCCGATCCTCCTCATCCTCCTCCCGTTTTTTTGTCCCGATTGCGCATGACACGATGGGGTCTCTGGGGGAGTTCCAGGTCCGCTGTGGCACGCGTCCGCGGAGAGAGCAAGAACAGCACACTGGGAAGGGCTGGGTGGCAGGGGGCCGGATGCCAGAAGCGGCGCGAGCGCACCTGCCTCGTCTCACCCCCCCTCTCGCGTCTGCGCCTGCGGCTTCTGCGCCTGCCCCGGTGGCAGCCCCTGATGGGGTCCGACAGCTCCTGCAGGTGTCCGGCAGGCCTAGATCGGGCGCTGCCGGAAGGGCCCCTGGCCCGAGGTGCCCCCAGGATTTGCAAGGAGGCCCCCACGGCCTCCAGAGCACCCCTCACGAGGCCCAGAGGGCCCCAGGGGCTCCAAAATCAAGCGAAAAGCTGGGGGCACCTTGGGCCAGGGGCGCCTTCAGCACCCCCCGACTGGAGACTCCCTTCAAGGCTCCTGAAGGTATGGGCGGCGCGCACAAGGGGGTAGGGGGAGAGGAGAAGGCTTCTCAGAAGGAGGCTGCTGCTTAGAAGGCGGCGGCCCTGCATCTGTAGATAAGGCACGCGCCGTCTAAGCAGCAGGGTCCCCCTATAGTTTCCCATACGTTCTGGATTTGTGTCTTCCCCTCCACTTTCCAGATTTTCCCGCAAATTTCCTTGGGATCGACGACGGATTGTGTCTGTGTGTGTGTTTTTCCCCCTCCTGAATGAAGGTTCTCTTCAGGGCTCCTGAGGGTGGATTGATAATACGTTGGCACTGCGACGCGAGGCATCGCAGACCGAGGACCGCGCCTGTCCCCCCCGAGAACTTCTGGACCATCTGAAGAAAGGTAGTAATGCGGGATGACGATTGATAAAAAATGGGAGAGAACGATTAAAAAAAAAGTTTTCTGCGATGTCTGCACAATTTTCTGACTGGAGGAGAACGATTAAAACATAGTGTTCCAGCCCGATGCCGGTTTTTTCTAATCGTCATCCTGGGCGTCGCCGCGTGAACACGACCCCCGGTCATTTGTTAATCGTCATCCTCCATTATCATCAGGTCGGGGCGTTGACCTGAGGACGAACGAGGCCCCATTCTTCCACAAGTTCGACTTCGACTCCCCATCGGAAACCCGAGGAGCACCCGAGGCAATCTGCGAAACAACTCAGGAGCACGGAGCCCCTCCCCAACGAAAAGGGTACCTTATTCAGCGCCCCGACTGCAGGGTTGATCTCTCTACTCCCCTCATAGTTGTGCCACTCTCCTCCGCTGATTCCTGTTCCTCTTCTCGACCGTCATCCTGCCCCGATGCTCTCCTTCCGAAAATGATCCTCCTATCCCTCCAGTGTCGCATGCTTCTCCGCCTCCTCCGCATCATCATCATCATCATCATCATCATCATCATCATCATCATCATCATCATCATCATCATCATCATCATCATCATCATCATCATCATCATCATCATCATCATCATCATCATCATCATCATCATCATCATCATCATTCATCACATCATCATCATCATCATCATCAGCATCAGCATCAGCATCATCATCAGCATCAGCATCAGCATCAGCATCAGCATCAGCATCAGCATCATCATCATCATCATCATCATCATCATCATCATCATCATCATCATCATCATCATCATCATCATCATCGTCACTCCCCTCCTCTTTCCGATGATGATGGCGATGATGATGACGACGGCAGTGTCATCACCCCCGAACGTTGTTCTCACCCTCAACCTCTTCGTCATGCTGCTACTGCTGTTGCTGCTGCTCCTGCTGCTGCTGCTGCTGCTGCTGCTCACCCCCCATCCCCCTCTCTCCCCCACCTCCTCTTCATCCTCAGCTTCGCCCTCCTTTTCCTACCTGCCGCTGCTGCTCCTCCTCCCTCCCCCGTCCACCTCCCTCTCCCCTTGCACCCCCTGAGACCCGACGACGCCAAGCATGCAACACCATGGAAGATCACGACCACAGCCCATGACCCCATCTGCCTGCTGCACCTTGCAAGGCCCGATCGATCTGTGGCCCGAGGCGACACGAACACGCCCTGCTCGGCAAAAAAAAAAAAAAAACGCGACGCCAGGATCTGAGGGGCGATCCCTCCCCCCTCGCCCGCCCTCCTCCGGCCCATCCAGGGGCATCCTCCTCGCCCGCCCTCCTCCGGCCCATCCAGGGGTGTCCTCCGGCAACTGCCAGTCGGGCGAGTCGTGCTGCTGCGCGTGGAGGCCTTCGCCCGCGCCCGCCGACCGCAGCAGCTTGGGCGGGTAGCTCGCCGGCGGCTCCCGCCCGTGCCTGGCGGTGTCTGCCCGGCACAGCTCGGGCGGGTAGCACGGCGCCTGCGCGGCGTACGGCGCCTGCGCGGCGTACGGCGCCTGCGCGGCGTACGGCGGCACCGTCGCGCGCGTGGCGTCGCCCGCGGCGTCGCCGAACAGGGGCTGCCGCGCGCACGCGGCGGCGTCCGCAGCGCGCGATTCCGGCGAATACCTCGCGCAGAGGGCACCCGTCGCGCCCCCCCCGCCGCGCCGTGGCCTGGGCCACCTTGGGCCCTGGCGCGCGGTGCGCACGCCCTGACCAGGCCCGAGGGCATGGAGGGTCCAGCACCGGCCACGCCCAGGGCCCAAGGGCTGAAGGGTCGATGTCCCCCCACCACTGCAGTACAGGGTCAGCAGGACGGGGAAGAAGGGAGGATGGGGAGGTCCTTCTCCTCCTCCTCCTCCGCCTCCTCCTCCTCCTCCTCCTCCTCCTCCTCCTCCTCCTCCTCCTCCTCCCCCCCTCCGCGAGCGCATCGGAGCGATGCCCGAGGACGGGCCCGCTCGACATCCATCGTCTGTCTACCTGGCCGCAAGCCGCGGCCCCCAGGGCGCGAACGCCCAGTACTGGTGGTCGAAGCAGAAGATCAGATACTTCCAACTACCACCAGCGCATGTATCCAGACAAACGCCAGACATCCAATCACAAAAACCAGTACGACGAGGCAGCTCAGGTACGCGACCTCCTGGGAATACACAAAGCCCCACCCCCCCTGAGCGGCCAAGTGGGCTGACGCCATCAGCCCACCGGAATGAGTGCTCTCGCACATCCGCTGAAACAAGGGGGGTGTGGGGTGTGGCCAAGTGAAGAGGCAACTCAAGTGCGCGACCTCGTAGGAATACAAGCGGCCCCAACACCCCCTCAGCGGCCAAGTGGGCTGACACCAACAGCCCACCAGAATGAGTGCTCCCGCACATCCGCTGAAACGAAGGGGGTGTAGCCAAGAGAAGAGGCAGCACAGGTGCGCGGCCTCGAAGGAATACGAACGGCTCCAGCACCCCCTCAGCGGCCAAGTGGGCTGACACCGTCAGTCCACCAGAAGAGCGCCCGCGCACATCCGCTGAAACGAAGGGGGCGCGGCCCAGAGATGAGGCAGCTCAGGCGCGCGACCTCGGAGGAATACGAACGGCACCAACACCCCCTCAGCGGCCAAGTGGGCGGACACCGTCAGCCCCCCAACAGAGTGCTCTCGCACATCCGCTGAAACGCATGGGGGCGTTGCCAAGAGAATAATACATCACCTCGATCGGCTCGCCGAACTCGCCGCAACGGGATCCAGCGCAGCTCCCGACGTCGGGTGGCGACCATCTAGAGTTCGCTTGACTTCTTTCGGTTCTGCTTGCCGTAGGCCGTGGCGGCGCAAATGCGCTCGCCCCCGCCGCAACTGTGCATCAGACCCGCCGAGCCCGAAGAAGCTTCGCCAAAAAATCAACACCTTCTGCTCGCCGCGAACGGCCCCGCATTAAAAGACTGCGCGGACTCTTTTCCTCCGCGACCGCATCAACAACAGACGGCAAATCCCCCGGCGCCCGCTCGGCTCCCAGCAACGCTTGCGCAACCAACTCGCAAGGCCTAGCGGGGGCGTCTGCCTTGCCCGCGCAGTCCACATGAGCCCGACACTTGAATCTGCCCAGCTCCGTCGGCGCACGCGCGGTTGACTGCAGGTTGGCCCTGACCTTTGCCATGTAGCACTGTTGCTGCAGCGCGTGCATCACACATAGCCGCCCGTCAACTCCACGAACTGGTGCTCTTGAATGGCCAGCCGCGCTGGCGCCCCATACTTCCGTGGCTTTGGTGAGGGATCAGGACCCTTCCAAGCGCCTTCCACAACCATGTGCTCAATGACTCTGGTGAAGCACTGACTAACCTGCTGGTGGTGTCTCAACTACGCCCGGTAGATGTCAGCTCAGACTGTCGACGCACGATGTCTGAGCGCATCTTCTCTCGCGAGGTAATCCGCCCACCAGTTGCCGCGCCGCCATGTCGCATGAAGGCACATGTGCAGGTACTCGCCCACAGTTTTACGTGCTGGCGCCCAGGAGACTTCGGGCGGGATCCCCTGGGCCGCTGAGACAACCCTTCTCCAGATGTCAGCACGTTTGCACGCTGGCGCTTCCAACTGAGCCGACCAACTGTGAGCTTCGCGCGCCAGACCAGCCAAATCTGATATTACCATACTGACCTGCGGGTATAACAGTAGGCCCTGAAAGACAGCGTATCTCTCCGCTCGGCCCACTGTTTGACGTGCTTCTGGAAGCGGACCGTACACTGCCCGCAATGGTGGTCCATGTTCAGATACTTGTATCGCTCACCATCCACACCTGCACAATGCTGGAATTGGCGGCTCATACCCAGATCCGCACGTGAAGATGGTGTCCAACCAACCTGGCCGGTCGGAAGCCCAGTCGCCCCAGAAGAAGACTTCCGGTTGATCCACAGGGGGGTCAGCAGGCGGCGGTCGATTCGGCAGGCCCACAGAGAGTTCCAGCGTCTTGTCGCCGGGCTTGCCCAATCTATTCTGGCATCCTGTGTCCGCGGGCCACCTCTGCACCTCCTGCGACTCCTCAGGCAAACCTGGCCCCTTACTCTGACCAGCCCCAATAATCACTCCAGGACAAACATGCAACCGATGACCTGGCGCATCTGGGGGCCTCTCACATACTCGGCAATATTCCTCTCTAGAGAGGCCCATGGGATATTTCTGTGACTGCGTCCAAGGCGCTCCACTCCACCTTGCTCGAATGCTGCCTGTCTGACTTGCCTTGCCTATCGCCGTCTTCGGCCTTGCAACTATTGCTATCGTGGCCTCGCGCCACAATTGTGCATCGATGCTGGTACCGACGCCGTGGTGACACAGTGTCTTACTATGCTGCCAACGCTCAATGCCCTCGCGAAGCTGCCTCTTCACCTCCTGCGGGCACGTGGAAGGCAATAGCATCTTCCCCCACAAATCCGCGCACAGCACCGTCGAGAAGAGCACGTGCCAGCCAAGACGATTGAGACTGCAGCAGACTCCAGCAACTGGCCCTCTAACCATGGACCATGTAACAGGACCGCCTGGCCGCGATATAAACCGTTCGCACATGGATTGCCAGGCCCTCTCACGCCTTCCCAAGGAACATCTCTGATCCCAAACCGAGCCCGCGCATCTCGTCGACAAGTCCACCGTGGCCGCGAATATCGCATCATAATACATATTACTTTGCGTGGCTAGACATACCGTCAGCGACGCTCCCTGCATCTTAGCCCCTGCCAGGTTACCAACGAATCTCCGAAACTGCTGCAGATGCTGATCACTGACGCCGGAAACCCCTGCTCCGCGCGCAGCACCTGGCAACCCGCCCGCGTTCCACAACGCCGCAATTCTGCCAGCGACTGCTCCGCGAAGCCGCATGAGCCGAGCATTTCTGCCCAGTATGCCTTGGCATCCGGTCTTAAACTGCGTCCTAGCCCGCTTGCCACCGCAGAGCTCGCGCCCTGAATTGCGAATCCAACGCGCGCCTTTGATGCCCAACTTTCCTGCTGGCCCTTTGCACTTCTTGGCCACCTGATGCGATGGCCCGACGAAGCCCGACTTGTCTGTCTCCACAACCAACCCCAGCTTGAGCACTCTCTGCTTGGCAGCTTCCACCGTGCTCCAAGTCGTGGCAAACCCAGCTTTGATGTATCCAGTCCGCTGCACCGTTAGGTCGCCCACTAGCCCACGCGGTCTAACGGATGACCCTCGTAGCTCCCCACGCACGCGCCACAAGAACGCGTGGGAGAGTCGTTGCATGCGAGCACTCAGCCAGGATTCCTTGCCCATGGTCACCGTTCAACTCAGTGAGCCATGCGCCTTCAGGCGCCGTGGCATCTGGTAAACCTGGAGCAACATCCAGAGCAGCCTCAAGTCGAACTTCAGCGCCCTGGCTTCTAAAAACATGGAATCCTTTACCCTCTCATCGCCCTTGCAGGCATCCAGCATGGCCGCGATGCTCGACTCCTCAAGTTCGATCGCCACCCCCGCCTGCAGGTTGCGATCGCATGCACAGTCTGTCGGAGATATGCCTTTGTCGTGCCCCAAAAAATCAGCTGACGGATTGTTCACCTGCCAACTCTTAGATATACGTGAGCTCACACGTCCCCATGTCCGTTCAGGGGTATTCATGAATTCGATCGATCGGCATCCTCCCCCAGGCCTTGGTAAGCGAACCATGATATTCCATAGTCTTGTCGAAGGCCACGTTCGCAACTGTTCGCATCTCATGAAATACCTCGCGTTTCGCGTAACCGCGCGAAAGACAACTGCAATATGGTATTCGGCGCAATTTGAGCATGTCCAACTGCTGTTTGATCTGGACAGGTCGACATCGCACCAATCATCATGCGCACCGCAATCTGCGATGAGTCTGGCCAGCTGTGAGCGTCTCCAGGCAGCTCCGCGGTAGTGAGCTCGTGCCGATTCCAAATTGTTTCCCAAAGGTCCATGGCCTCCCCCGCCAGTCCCCTCGGGGCTGGCGCTGCTTCATCCGGCCGCCGTGATTCAAGTCTTCCTTGCACCACCTCGACCTTCGTGCGGCGGTTTGCCCTTCCAACACCCTTTTGGGAAGAATCCCGTGCCCGCTGCTTCCAGCCGCCATGCGCCTCCTGCGCCTTTTCCTGATAAAGAACATCGGCCATCTCCGCGATCTCACAGGCGCCCTCCGCGATGGCATCGGCCAATTCGTCCAAGTAGTTCAGCGCGCCTTTGCATCGACGAACCCTCGAAAAGAAACGCTGCAGTTCAATCCGCATGTCCGCGATGCGTCGGTGGTGAGCCATCCTCAACTCGCGCGCTGCATTCGCTGCCTCCAGCTGCTGCGACGCCTTACACGCCGCGGCTGTCGCCATCATTAACTGCTCAGCCCGTCTCGACGCCGCCGTCCAAGCTTGCACCTTTGGCCACAAGCGTCGCCTCTTTACAAGCGGGGCCCACCCCGCCTTGGTCGCCCTGGATCTGGCAGGCCCCACTCTTCCAGCGCGCGCCAGCCGCTTAGCGCCCAATCTGTCATATATGCCCATCAACTCCTGCCCGGTGGTAGCAAGCGTCTGATCCCAAGCCAATGCTAGCGCGCCCGCGTCGGTTGCCTCATTTATGAGCTGTTCGGCCTTTGACCAGCATGCCACCCTGCGCGCGCAACCAGGAAGAGGCCGAACAGGAAAAACACGCGGCTCATCCATCATCGCTAAATCAGCTTGCGCTTCCGCAAATAATGGGCCGGCCACTGGCCGACGAGCACGAATCGGGCAAACCTCGCCCACCACAGACAGGCGTCGCAATCAACCCAATACTGTCGCAAACCAAGAAATAATCAATTGTGGACTCCTTCTTATCAAATGGCCTGCAAGCCGCGGCATTCGGCATGGGGGGAAGACCTTTTCACCCGTTCGATCCAACCAGGGTCGCCAGCAGCGAGCGCCGCCCTGGTGGAGTTGAAGTCGCCGCCGATGTACTCTTCGAGGATCTTGAGCAGCCACGCGTTGTCATCGCCCATGCCAACCGCACTCCGCTTGTAAACTGCGACATGCACGACGCCGCCCTTTGGGCCCCGGACGACGTGATCCGCCGCGACGCGCCCAGCTTCCAAGATCCGACTCTAATGGGGGCGGGGGGGGGCCCATAATAATAATGACGCTGGTCTTGCGCAAGATCGCCAGACCTCCGCTGCCCGCCGCGGGCGGGCACCGCAGCCCATGATGACCATTGTCCTTCGCCTGCTTCTGAGGGCCCGGCATGCGGCCCTCGCCCGCACGAAGCCCCTGGAGTAAAATGACAAAGGGAATCGGATCCAACATCCAAGCCTCCAGCGACTCTTGCATCCTCGAATGCGATGTGAGATTAGCTGCGTGAATCCAACCTTGTCACAGGTATCACGTCCATCTTGTCGCCCCCATTGCGCCGGTGATTGCCATCGTCGTCGCCAGAATACTCCCCTCGAGGCCTAGGGCCATCAAAATCTGGAGACCGATCCTGGGGCAGCACACGAAACATGTGCTTCAACTCTGCCAAAGCGGCCCAATGGTTTTCCAGCGCAGCCCTGCGTATATCCCCCACCGCGCGAACAATATCGAAAGGAGGCCCTGCGTCTCGGCTGAGCCTCGTGGCGCGCGTGCTCGCATAGATGCCGGGTCGCCGCTGCAAGATCCCATTATCTGCCAGCACGCATTATAAGAATATCCATGAGCTCACGTCGGAGATGCTGATTGCGAGGTACATCGAGTAGCCCCTGAAGGTGCGACTCGCACCAAAAATGTTCAGCCACGAATGGGGTTGCACTCCAAGCCGCCCTCGATATCGCGAATCCAAATCGCCGCCCAAGTCGCGAGGTCCTCATACAAGTCGGGGTGCCCACTCCTCGGCTGCAGGTCTGGCGGCATCGTGCCCATCGCACCTGGAGCTTCCTGAGCCAGCGAAGCCATCGAAATCGACCCAGAGGCGTACGAATGCGATACCAGCTGGCCCCCATCATCCGTCGCGAAATCTGTTGGCCTCGTAGGTCCACTCGTTGCACCCGAAGTCGACACCCCCATTGAAGCAGATTCGTCACCAGATGCCGCCCTTGTTCTCGCCCCTGGGGAACGCACCTCCCAAGCCACGCGCGGAATACCAGTGCCAACATCAGCAACGAGAAGAAAATCATCAACCCATTCAGGACTCACTGATAACACTGGCACAGCCGACATAATGGAACCAGAGCGATCCCACGACTTACAATGTTCGGTCATGCGCAGATTGTCGCGTGGTTGCCAGTAATCATCGCTTGCGACCGCCATTGTGCGAATAGGGGCCCGCAGCAGAACGAGGACATAAACCACTTGCACGAAGCTTTTGGCCCAAGTCCCTCCATTTGGCTGCACCGTCATCTGGGATATCGGCTGGTTAACAGACTTCCGTGATGCCGTGGAGGAGCTGCGCCAAGTCCACGCCATCAGCGTCCCATGCTTCGCCTTGTTCACTAGCTGCAGTAGCTGTCGCCTGTGCTCCTGCGCTTGTCGCCTGCCCTGGCCATAACTGACTCCGCCAACTTTCCCCCCACCTCTTGCCCAGAGCCAAGTTCTGAAATAATATTGCCCACAGCACACGCATCCACTGCCAAGTCGGGAATGACGGCCGTCGTCGCTCCTCCATCAGCGCCATCTCCTTGTTCGGGCCGCTTGTTTTTGCAACTCAAACAGCTCGGCCTGTGGAGATGGGACCTACTGGGCGGCCTCGTCCAACGCGGTCTTGTCCTTCCCCACCTGCAGCCGCATCTTCTCGAGCTTCTGTGACGCAGCGTTCCATGCGGACCCCTTTTGTTCCTGCACTTGTCTCGCCTGGATAGTACGACGAAACAGCACTTGCATCTTCACCGCGGGCGGCCTACTGTCCTACAGGGTCTTCTGGAGTCGTTCCTGTTCATCACGAGCGGCTCGAATGAACGAGCGAAAGTAGTCTGAGGAAGATGACTGTCCGAGCTTCTCCAAGCCAGCCAGCTCCTGGGAGACGACGGCCAGGCGCAACTTGGTACGTTCTGCTTCGTCGGCAGCGTCCCCAACCCCACCATCAGCGCCATCATCAACCACCATGGCCGCCCCATTTTGCACAGCCCTTGACTTTTGAGCCTCGGGCTGCGCTTCCAGGGCGGAGATGCGAGCGTGGGCTCTCTTGAGTTCCGGATTCGAATTTGTGTCCCCAGGGTCATCAGTCCACGGTTGTTTTCTCTTCCCCCGAAGAGCGACCGAAACGGAGGGCGCACGATTGTCATCTCGATTCCGAAGGAAACAGGATCCCTTATGGAGACACCCTCGACAGTGCGCGTTCGACGCGAAGCTCCAGAGAGGCTTCTCAAAATGTTTACTACAAGATTGGCACACCCAATATTGCTGATATCTCTGCACCATCCCCTTAACGGCAGACGAGCACCCAGAACAAAGCGTCGATCAGGGCTTCGAGTAACACTTAGTTAGAAGGGCGGGTCGAACGAGGCTCGGTCCACGTATTGTAAGAAAGCAGATGGTGCCGCTTCTCCCCCTGCCCCAAAAAACTCCTGTCCAGAGCGAAACGTTACGGACTTGAGCCAAAATGGCTACGGATACTGTGCTCCTCCTCCTCCTCCTCCTCCTCCTCCTCCTCCTCTTCCTCCTCCTCCTCTTCCTCCTCCTCCCCCCCCTCCTCCTCCTCCTCCTCGTCCCTCTCCTCCCTGTTGCAGTGGTGGCGGAAAATCGGCTCGTCAAGGAGGGCCCCAGGCGGCCTGGCGCGGCGGTGGCGCCCACACGACAGGCGCCCCCCCGCGGCACCCGCCCGCGCCGGCGGGCCCCAGGTTCTGCAGCGGGCCCCTCGGCGCGAGCCCCCGCGCGTGGTGGGCGCTGGCGGCGCCCGGCCAATCCGGCGCGTGGCCCGCTCCCGCCCGCCGCGCGTGCGAGGCCACGGCGCCCGCGGCCCGCAGGTCGGCCGGGTGGCCGGCGGGTGCCCGCCGCGAATGCGCGGCCACGGCGCCCGGCGCCCACAAGTCGGCCTCGCAGCCCGCGGGCGCGTGCCGCGCGTGCGGGGCGGCGCCCGTGGCGTGCGGGCCGCGCGGCGGGCAGCCCGCCGGGGAGTAACGCGCGGCGTCCGCCGCCCACGGCTCGGGCGGGCGGCCGGCCGGGTGCTGCCTCGCCGCGAGCGCCGCGACGTCCGCCGGGTGCAGGTGGGGCGGGTACCTCCCGTGGGGCTGCCTCGCGTGCGGGGCGTCCGGGTCGGGCAGGTAGGCCTCCTGCGGCTGCATGCGCGCGGGGGGCAGGCTCGCCGCCTGCGGGGAGCGCCCGCGGCGCCCCGGGGGGGTCGCTGGGCGGCGGCAGGGTGCCGTGCCGGGGGGCAGCGGGAACCGCCCCCACCCCTAGAGGAAAAAGAACTATGCACATACACCGATTCTGGCCAGGCCCATCCTGGGCCCAGGATCGGTGCATACGCCCTCCTACCTTGGCCAGGAAGGCATATGCACCGATCCTGGGTCAAGGATGGGCCTTGCCAGGATCGGTACATGTGCATAGTTCTCTTCGCCCGAACCCCAGATCACACGTCCCATGGCATCCAGCATCTAGAGGCCTTGGCTTTCAGCGGGCAGGCAGAAATATGTCGGTCCCTGTCTGTCTCTGCTACGACTCCCTCGGCCCACATGGGGATCGTCGTCTTCAGGGTCGGCGGCACCAGCCGAAAGGCCTTAGCAGTAGATCAGCACGGCCTGATACTACTCGGAAGGCTCAAGGAAATTCCCAGCGATATCTGGCAGCCACGCCCTGACAGAAATAAGACCTCTGCGCGTGCAATCGCCCTCTTTCCGTTTAGCTACTGCCTCTAAGAAATCCTCAAAACGAGATCCGCAGGCTGAACATGATCCGTCATCAATCCTTGTAGTTGCCAGAAACACATAATCCATTGTGGGTAGCGCTAGAAGGAAGGCCACATTCTGAAGCCAGCCGACCCTTTATCATTCTGGCTGTTGGAAGCTTTTGAAAAGAGTGTGCGCGGCGCCACACAGCGCGAGAACCGCAACTTGAAAACAAATGGCCCCCTTCCTTGTAACACCTGAAAGCCTTGAACAAACAACTGTGGCGATAAAGCAAGAGCCGCATGTTGAAAACTGTCGTCCCTCCGCCCTAGTAGCTATTGAGCTTAATTGAGCCCGAAGATAGAAATTGGGTGTGGGGGGATCAAGCGCAAAGAACAATCCGGCCTACGGACGAGCCTGGGGGTGAAGTGGAGGGACTTATTCAAAAGGAAGAGGGATGGAGGAGGAGAAAGACGCGAGAGGAGCAGGAGGCCGAGGGAGGAGGAGAAGGACGAGGAGGAGAATCCAACCAGCCCTCTGGGCGGAGGTGGTCTAACGAAATCTCTCTTTCCTCTTCTCAAGCCCCTCTTCCCTTCGGTGATGGGCACCCTCTCCTTCTGCTCCGAGACCTCTTGGGACGTTTCGCAATGTATCAGGGCTCCTTTTGCGGCCCAGATCGCTCCAAGAGAGCCCACGACGCTCAAAGATAGCATCCAAGATGGACTGCCGAGCGTGGTTTAAGATGGCCTCCATCATGCCTCCAAAAGGCCCAAAGAGAACCACTGGATGGTTCCAAGTGCCCTTGGAGTCTTCCTAAGACCTTCCGAACAGCCCCAACTCCTTCCAAACCTTTGGATAACCAGCGTTGTTTGTCTTCTCGCCTTTTCGCTTCTGGTGGGCGCCTAAGGCCTCAAGATGGCCCCGAGATGGCCCGAGAGGCCCCCAAGACGGCCCCAAGAGCGGCCAAGAGCGCCCCACGTGTGCTCCCAAGAGCGCCCCAAGAGAGCCCCAAGAGACGGTTTTGATGGTGCTGGTAATTGGAATCGAAGGCCCCCCACTGTTGCAGGGCTTCCAATAAGCCTCCCAAAAAAAGCCAAAGGAACCCCCAATACCCTCCAACCGAGCTCCGAGAGGACCTACATACATCCTGAAACAGCCCGACTCGGGCACCAAGAGGATCCCGAGATAGCCTCAAGAGGATTCCAAGGAACTTCTAGCAAACCCTAAGATTGCTGCTAGAGTCCTCGTCCGCGTCCTCTTCCTCCTCCTCCTCCTCCTCGTCCTTTCCCTTCTCATCTTCGTCATCTTCCTCCTCGTCATCGTGCTCCTCCTCGTCCTCTTCGCCATTCCTCTTCCTCCTCGTCCTCATTTTTTCCATCCTCGTCCTCCCGCCAGAGGTGTATCAGAAGTTGGGTGAGAACGTGCTCTGTCAGACTCATCATACTTCTGGTCGCTTTCCTCCACCTCCTCCTCCTCAAATTCTCCTCCTCCTCCATTTCCTCCATCTCCTCCTCCTCCTCCTCCTCCTTTTGC